ACGCTGCATCGTCGTATGAAGGGCACTTAAACAGACATGTATCTGCGGTTCATGAGAGTGGGTTTACCAGTTCTTTAATGATATTCTTGATCAATTTATTGGGTGTATGCTTCCTAATATTAAATGGTATTATGGCTGTATCTGCTTTGTTCTACCCTTTCGAGGTGGGGATAATGTAATTGCCGGGGTTGACATTTGTAATTGTTGTACCAAAGAACTTTAAACACGCATCACTACATGCATACCTTTATTGCTTGCTATCAAATGAAGATTCGTTTTTACTCTTACCATATTTTCGGGTCCTCTAATGAAGTTCTACTATACTGCATTCAGCTTTTACAGGTTTACATGGCCACACTTCAGCTGTTAATAGATGGAACATGTTTTCTGGTATCAAACGGGTAGATTCAAGGGTTGCAAAAACGTCTTTTACCACTTCTAAGCTAGCTGTGTTTTAAAAAGTACTGAGTCTGTTCCAGAGCAAATTAAGAATGGGCAATTTTTGAGCCATACAGCCAGAGAATATGTTGTCATGACAACAATTTATTGGGTCTTTTTTCGAGAATATTACTAAACTTCGCATTATTGCTACTTGTACTATTTCAGTAGCACCTTAGGAATAATTGGTCTTTTTTCTCAAAGTGTGCAGTCCGTTGTATACCCTGCTACTGACTTCGCAGCACAGATCGCATTTCTTCCTGTTTGTAGAATAAAACACGCAGTCATCACTTAGCGGTCCTTGATGTGCATAACACAGATGGCTGCATTTAGTTTTTTTGTTGGATGCAAATATTATGCACATTAACCAAGTTGTTTTTGTTCCAGAATGAAAGCGTGGATAAGAATGCTCTTCTCCCCCACACGAAAGGGATTTTGCAGGTCATAAGCATTATCAGCTGCATCATGTCACGAAGATAGATTTCCTTCTGATGGAGATACCTGTACTTTCCGTCTATCCTCCGCGAACAAGGACCAGCTTGCGCATCTTTATCTTTGCCTTGGGCAAATTATGCCATATATAAAGCCTATATGCTGCTTGATACTTTGAAACTATTTGTTTTGCTACATTTACGCATGTGCTTTTATTGTAGTTTTTACGCCTTCCCTTAGTGAGTGGCTACTCTTAACATAATGTCGGAACAAATTTTGTATTATACCTGCATCGAAAAGTAGTAGAACTAGCAGCTAAAGCTGGGCTTTTTCATTGCTTGTTGAAGCATGAGCGCATTTCAGTTTAGCAATTGTTTGTGCATATCTATTCGCCACTGGGGTTGATTTCTCGAAATTTACATTCCATAATTGAGAGATTTGTAGAATTTCTGTTTTCTGCTATACTGCAGAAGGATTTAAAGTAGCGTCAAAGATTTATTGTAAAGGACGTTAGAAGTCTAAGCATTCCTTAGATGAACCGTAATCCGAAAGGTCCACGAAACCGTGATGTTCCGTCTGAGTGGTTGGTGTTGGCCAGGCTCTCACTTGCTTTGTACAGACTTCATTAAGTGCCATCCCATTTGGCAAGACGGTTTATCTCAGACAGTTGACCAGACCTTGCAAGAACCGGCGCTTCTTTAATGCTGGACTGTCGTGGAGATGCACGTGTGACTCTGAATCCAATCTCAGGTTAGTGTTGTGCTCTCGAATATTCCTACAGAAGACAAAAATGCCATCCAAGTGTATTGTGAAGTATTTCATGATCAATCCAAATCGTGTGGTTTGCGTAAGGTGGCGAAAATTGGTGTTTGGGCAACGGAGTCCAAAAGTATTACCTGAAATCTATAAAACCCGTTTGACAATAGTGAAATCTGTTTTCTCCCTGCCCGTAGCTGTCATTTTACTTGTCAGTATCGTGATTTTAAGTCTAGCGTGGCCAACGACTGTGACCAATGCGGAGAGTCTAACGAATCGTTTACGTGGAATGGCGAGACAGCATCCCATTGTTGCACTGCATACGGCTTTTTGTGGTCGACCCACTGCCGAATAGCCTCGTCCTTCTTCACCAGAGCAGTATACGAGGCTCATAATGGTTTTGACAGCTTTATGACCTCGTTTCTGATCATTACTTTGACACGATGGTTTACCTGTTTCAGCAAAGCAGGAGGCTGTATCTGGTTTCTGCAAGATCGGCCTAGTCTGATCGCTGTCTGTCGTAAGTTTGGCGATGTTTGTTCTTCCCAACTCACCGCCTTTCTGTGAAAATGTATTCTCATTTTTAGCTACTACTAATAATTATACTCGGTACTTGGTATTTGGGATAGTGTATGTAGGTCAAGGCAAAAAAATCGGAACAGTGATAAAGCCTAGCAAACTAATTGTCTGCAAGTTGCTCCTTTATTATTCCCATCACTAAATACTCACTCTGCTGCATGCTGAATGGCATTGTCACACGATTAGTGTGGCGAAGTTTAAATTATCAGAATTATTCTTTGTCGATTGTCAACTACACTGTGAGTAAAAAGATAGCTGTGATTAGAAAATATAAGGAAGTTAAGCAATGTTAAATTCGAAACATTCCGATATTACAGTGCATTTCCTTGTTGTTAAACAAAGGCTGATTGGAAGCATTTATGGAACGTTAAGACGATTTCTGCCGTATCTTAGGGACATGGGGATCTGTAAATATCTCCAACCTTTTTTCCTTTTATTTAACTGACTGTGCTAGCAGCATAATTTCCTTGAGGTACGAGGTTCCAGCAAACTACACTTTCACATAACGCTATGTTCTTGCGACAGTGTAAATGGATGGTTCTGGCTTCTGTTATGATTCCAAGCAGAATAATAAGGAGAAAAA